CATTGAACTGCTTTTCTAATTGAATGTGCAGTTTTATGGCAAGTTATTAAAAGTAACCAAGAAAATAATGCAGCATCTCCAAATATAGAATATTACCAATCTATTTCACACCAGTGTTTGCTTTTCATCCGTTTTTGCCATGCTTTTTGCATTTCGTATTGTGTTTTTTGCACACGTGTTTTTGTTGCATTTTTTGTACTGTGCTTTGCTAAAGGAGAAATGTTTTTGTTGCTGGGCAGAATAAAAACACAAAATGCAACAAAAACGCACTTTGCAAAACAAACTTCTTTCGTGTTGTCATTATGGGGTATTGTTTGTAGAATGTTGAGGGAAAAAATAAATTTAATCCATTTGGGAATAAGGCTGTAACCAGGGGCGGACTGACCATTTGGAAACTCGGGCTCTGCCTGAGGGCCCGGGGTCAGTAGGGGGCCCCATGAGATGCCCCTGGTACCTTTTTCATAGGCTTTTTTGAGTTTGGGCAAGGACACAGGGGCCCCATGATCCCCTATTGCCCAGGGCCCCATGAGTTGTCAGTCCGCCCCTGGATAGAACTTAGATTTTCATCAACTGAAAGAGAAAATATATACAGTTGTGCTCAAAAGTTTGCATAGCTTGGAAGAAATCATGAAATTGTGGTATTTATATGGAAAATATATGCCACAAAAAGCCCAGTGAGGCGTGTCAAGGCGTTGTCAAGCATATTGTAACCAGGCATTTTTGTGGCATTGGCTCAGTAAAGGCCTCTTTCTGGCAACTCGACCATGCAGCTCATTTTTGCTTAAAAGTGATGTAAATCAGTTGTTTTATATAAACTGCTTAGTCAAAAGATGTATTCCAAAACCAATTCTGCTTTGTCAGTAAAGGATAGAACCAGGGGCGGACCGACCATTTGGAAACCTTAGATGTGTGTTTTGGATCATTGTAATGTTGGAAAAGTGCACGACGACCAAGGGTATGGAGTGATGGTAGCCAGGGGCGGACTGACCATTTGGAAACTCAGGCACTGCCCGAGGGTCCAGGGTCAGTAGGGGGCCCCATGAGATGCCCCTGGTACCTTTTTCATAGGCTTTTTTGAGTTTGGGCAAGGACACAGGGGCCCCATGATCCCCTATTGCCCAGGGGCCCCATGAGTTGTCAGTCCGCCCCTGGCTGTAACATAACAAAATGTGGCAAAAGTGAAGCGCTGGGAATACTTTCTGGATGCACTGTATATTTACATATTGCAAGCTGCCCATTTCTTTTCTTTTGCACTGCCCTCCTTTTTATGTTTTCACTAAAGTGATTAAAAGCATTTGATCATTTTTATATTGCCCTTTTAACTGCATTAAAAGATCCTGTTTCCGCTGTATTTTTAAGAATTTTTTTTAATTGATACATATCCCCCCAGCTACCAATACCCAGGGATTTGTTTCAGCGGGAACTCGGGGGAATGCAGTTCTGGCACCTCCAGCACTGACTGTATGTTATGGCAAGGTGGGCTGGAGGGTCTATTGATGCTGGCTTTAGGGGAATCTATGGTTAGTGGAAGGGATCTATTTTTGCAGGGGTGTCTATTGTTGCTGGGGGTCTTATTTTTCTGGGGGCTCAATTGTTTCTGGGTGGAATCCACTGCTGAAGGAGGAGTCTATTGTTGCTGCACGGGATCTATTTGTTATCATTAACAAATTCTATACAAAAACAGACAAGAAGGGGTTTATTTACTAAAGCTGGAGAGTCCAAAATCAGACTCCCTTCTGCATAGAAACCAATCAGCTTCTAACCTCAGCTTGTTCAATGAAGCTTTGGCAATGAAACCTGGAAGCCGATTGGTTTCTATGGAGAAGGGAGTCTGATTTTGGACTCTACAGCTTTAGTAAATAAACCCCGAAGAGTCCATAATGACAGTCCAAAGTAACAACAGACCCTTAGTGAGGTAAGCTAACGCGTTTCGGGAGATGAACTCCCTTCATCAGAGCTCTTCTTGTCTGGTTTTATCCCCCTTTGGTTTGTGAGTTTACATTTTTATGCTTCATAATAAATTCTTGGTTTACAATGTTAATGCACGAAGAAAGAGCGCCCTGTTTTGCTTTTGCTCACCAATATCAAGATTTCCCAATCTTCCTCTACAAATGGCAGTTTCAGCCATCCTAGTCTGCATGAAGATTTGAGCGCTGGTTTCGTTTGTTCATAGTAAATGCAGGGTCCTGGGTTTAGTAACAATTTAATTCACCGAACCTCCTGAAAACCAGATTCTAATACTCTCATCCCTAGTGATAACATGGTAGTTCAGAAGGAAGCATGTTAGTTGACCATATACCACACTTTGGATAGTTGTCAAGAAATGCAGAAAAGTCTACGTGTGACCAATCAGAAAACACTTATCATTTTGTAACTTTTCCTTGGGAAATGCCATCTGGAATCCAGCTGGCTGTTGTAAACACTTTAGTATTAGGCATTTATATAAATGATAACAAAAATCAGGAGCGACAGCAAATCAAAAGTTCTTCCATGGAGAACCTATGAATCTGACTATGGCTGTGAGAAACTTTTTAGTACAATGATTGCAGCGGGTTTGTTTGGGAACATCGCTCAGGTGTTACAGGAAGGGGTTCTCAGATCTCCAGAATACTTATAAAGGGAGATAGAGGACTGATACACTATAGAAAAGATGGAAGCAGGCCTCTCAATGTTTGATGTTTGGTTTTGACTGGAGTCTACCTTATTATTGCAGGTCAATGGTATACCTGAAGAGAGGAAACTGACAGAAGCCATGAATTTATAACAAATATATGAAGAAAAAAAAACTTTTCTAACCTAAACAATGACTCACCTGCATGGCTCATGGGACAGTTTCATCCATTTTTTTTTTTTTTATAAATTGTATCACTTTTTTTTTTTAATGAACTTTATTAAAATGACAACAAAGAACAGTCACTGAACACAGGATGGCAGTACAAGCAGCAATGGTGATGGGCAATCAGCCAATCAAATGTCACCGATTATTAGAAAGAGGAGTGAAAGATGGTGGCTGGCCTGTTGCAGCGTGCGGTAGTACAATCCGTCATCGCTCCCTGCCTAAATGAGCCAACTGTGAGATATGGGAACGTTTACTTCATTCCAGCATTTTCTGCAATTCATTCACAAGGATCAACATTTTGTACATAGGAGCAAGAACTCACCAGATCTGGTATTGTCATCCCATTCTGCACTGTAAACATTTATGTGTTTATCTGCAATAAAAAGTATAACTTTTATAAAAGAACTATCATTCTGGAGTGTTTTTGCACCTTTTAGGTAAATCACAACCTTAGAATCACAACAGGGAATAACAATGGGTCACCAAATATAGTTACTTACTAGTGATGCACCGATATATCAGCAACATTTTGCTGATAGAAAAAAAAAAAAGGTGCCAATAATGTCATTGACTTTAAAAAAAAAAAAATTGCGTCTTATTGACTCCAATGCAAAATCATGTCCTATTGACTCCAATGCAAAATAGCCACCTACTGACTTCAATGCAAAATTGCTTTCCAATGCAAAATCGAATCCTATTGACTCCAATGCAAAATCACCCCCTATTGACTTAAATGCATAAATGTATCCTGTTAACTTCAGTGCAAAAATTGCCCCCTATTGACTCCAATGCAAAATTTCCCCCTATTGACTCCAATGCAAAATTGCCCCCTATTGACTCCAATCCAAAATCACTTCCTATTGACTTCAATACAAAATCGCATCTTATTGACTCCAATGCAAAATCACCCCCTTATTGACTCTAATCCAAAATCCCCCCCTTATTGACTCCAATGCAAAATCGCATCCTATTGACTCATAGAAAATCACCCCCTTATTGACTCCAATCCAAAATCGCCCACCTATTGACTTCAATGCAAATTCACGTCCTATTGGTTCTAATCCAAAATCCTGTCTTAGTGACTCCAATGCAAATTCACATCGTATTGACTCCAATGCAAAATCACCCCCTTATTGACTCTAATCCAAAATCTGCTGTCCTATTGACTCTACTGCAAAATCACCCCTTATTGACGCCAATCCAAAATTGTGTCCTATTTACTCCAATGCCAAATCACGTCCCATTGACTCCAATGGAAAAAGCCCCCTATTGACTCCACTGAAAAAATGCCCTCTATTGACGTCAATGAAAAAATACCTCTATTTAAAAAAAAAAAAAAAAAAAAATATATATATATATACAAATATAAAAAAATAAATAGAAATATATATATTTAATTAAAAATAATCCAATTATGTATATAAAATTTTCTTTTTAAAAAATTGTCCATTTCGGTTTCGGTTTTTGGCCAATTGCATATTGAATTTTTGGTTTCAGTCCAGAATTTTAATTTAGGTGTACCACTATTATTTACCTTTTCTGGATGGTACTATGCAGCTCTCTGTCAAATTTCCTGCCATTTGAAGAGCAGCCTAAAAAGAACCTGCTGGCTAAACTGGAAACTAATCTGAATCTAAAACTGAAAATCTGTCCTCCCGTGTGTTCAACTGATAAGTCATCAGTCAGGAAAGCAGACAAGAGATTGGTTTGTTACCCTATGTTGGATTTTCGGTACAACAAGTTAAGAAAGAAGAGATATTTTGTTAGTTCTTTTTCATTAAAGTATTACTAAAACTCACTCCAGTACAATCAGTCTGTATATACAGTAAAGCATGCTTGTTATACTCACTGTGGAACCTAAGTGGTTAATCCTCTGCATTGTGTAAAAAGAGTTTGATCCCGTCTTCTCTGATCCTACCCCTTCTTCCACTGTCCCCAATCCACCTGCCATAGTTAGAGCAGCAGTGGTAAGTCTGCACATGCTCTGTTAGATGTCTATTGCTAGAGTTATGCAGCCCTCATAGGACAGTCAGAGGAGAATGAAAACTCCTCCTACAAGATTCAGTGCTTGGCCGGACAATAATAGAAGTCACAAGACTGCTATATACTGCAGATGAGAAAAGGTATTTATCAGTTCATATTTACTAAAATAGTTGCATTTCCATGTTCTGTGTACTGTGGGAGAACAGATATAGTGAATGCAGGGTCCAGGGAGACCAGATATACTGAATGCAGGGTCCAGGGAGAGCAGATATAGTGAATGCAGGGTCCTGGGAGACCAGATATAGTGAATGCGGGGTCCTGGGAGACCAGATATAGTGAATGCAGGGTCCGGGGAGACCAGATATAGTGAATGCAGGGTCCGGGGAGACCAGATATAGTGAATGCAGGGTCCGGGGAGACCAGATATAGTGAATGCAGGGTCCGGGGAGACAAGATATAGTGAATGCAGGGTCCGGGGAGACAAGATATAGTGAATGCAGGGTCCGGGGAGAGAGGATATAGTGAATGCAGGGTCCAGGGGAGACCAGATATAGTGAATGCAGGGTCCAGAGAGAGCAGATATAGTGAATGCAGGGGTCTGGGGAGAGCGGATATAGTGAATGCAGGGTCCCGGGAGAGTGGATATAGTGAATGCAGGGTCCGGGGAGAGCAGATATAGTGAATGCAGGGTCCGGGGGAGACCGGATATAGTGAATGCAGAGTCCGGGGAGACCGGAGATAGTGGATGCAGGGTCCAGGGAGGCCGGATATAGTGGATGCAGGTCCGGGGAGATCGGATATAGTGAATGCAGGGTCCGGGGAGAGCAGATATAGTGAATTCAGGGTCCGGGGAGACCGGATATAGTGAATGCAGGGTCTGGGGAGAGCAGATATAGTGAATGCAGGGTTCGGGGAGACCGGGATATAGTGAATGCAGGGTCCGGGGAGACCGGATATAGTGAATGCAGGGTCCGGGGAGACCGGAGATAGTGGATGCAGGGTCCGGGGAGGCCGGATATAGTGAATGCAGGGTCCGTGGAGACCAGATATAGTGAATGCAGGGTCCGGGGAGACCGGCTATAGTGGATGCAGGGTCCGGGGAGACCGGCTATAGTGGATGCAGGGTCCGGGGAGGACCGGATATAGTGAATGTAGAGTCCGGGGAGACCAGATATAGTGAATGCAGGGTCCAGAGAGAGCAGATATAGTGAATGCAGGGTCTGGGGAGAGCGGATATAGTGAATGCAGGGTCCCGGGAGAGTGGATATAGTGAATGCAGGGTCCCGGGAGACCAGATATAGTGAATGCAGGGTCCAGGGAGAGCAGATATACTGAATGCAGAGTCCGGGGAGATCGGATATAGTGGATGCAGGGTCCGGGGAGACCAGATATAGTGAATGCAGGGTCCGGGGAGACCAGATATAGTGAATTCAGGATCCGGGGAGACCGGATATAGTGAATGCAGGGTCCCGGGGAGACCGGATATAGTGAATGCAGGGTCCGGGGAGACTAGATATAGTGAATGCAGGGTCCTGGGAGAGCAGATATAGTGAATGCAGGGTCCGGGGAGAGCAGATATACTGAATGCAGAGTCCGGGGAGACCGGAGATAGTGGATGCAGGGTCCGGGGAGGCCGGATATAGTGAAATGCAGGGTCCGGGAACCAGATATAGTGAATGCAGGGTCCGGGGAGACCAGATATAGTGAATGCAGGGTCCGGGGAGACCGGATATAGTGAATGCAGGGTCCGGGGAGACCAGATATAGTGAATGCAGGGTCCGGGGAGACCAGATATAGTGAATGCAGGGTCCGGGGAGACTAGATATAGTGAATGCAGGGTCCGGGGAGACTAGATATAGTGAATGCAGGGTCCAGGGTTTAGTAACACTTTAAGAATTAGTACATGTGGTCGTATTTAAACTCAGCTTGTATATGCAAGTCTAAAGCAACAAATTCAGTTGGTAAGTGCAAGGCATATAAAAAAGTGTCAAATAGCTTTCCTAAAGCCATTAGAAAACCTTTAGGGCTCCATTCACATCTGAGCGTAGCATTTTTTCGCATGTTTTTATGAGCGATTGCAAACATTTGTACATGAATTTGTTCAGACATTTTCAGGCTTTTTGAGTTTTTGGCGTTTCTGTATCAGCCAACAGAGAAAAATTTCATCTGTGACATCAATTGTTGACTTGTTTTGGCATGCCAGAAAAACACTCTTGGTTGCGCAGCAAAAGCGCATGAAAACGCGTGATTCACGCATTTCCATGTACTTCTATGGGAATAAAAACGCATCAATCTGCCTGAATGGAGATCCAAAAGTAGCTCCAACACTTTGAGGTTCAGGCATTGTGCTTTAGGTGACTTGGAGTGGAGCTGTGGACCATCTCCATACGGTAATATTGATTTTCTTCGCCAAGTGCTTTGGAGCTTCGAGCGTCACGCTACAAAACGCTCAGGTATGAATGGGGTGTTAGGCTCCAGTCTTGGGAGTGTAAGAATTAGAAATCTTGTAGCTTTAAACAAGCATTTTTCGGAGAATAATGGGATAGATCCATAATAAATGCCTTTTGAAAGCTACTTAATGTACAGTTGTGTTCAAAATAATAGCAGTGTGTTGAAAAAAAGTGAATAAAGCTCAAAATCCTTCTAATAGCTTTATTTCCATCCACACAAATGCATTGGGAACACGACACATTCTATTCCAAATCAAAACATGAAGAAAAATAGATCAAATTTTGTGTTGTTCCTCTAAAAACATTGAGGAAAAGTGAATATTAGACTGTTCAAAAAAATAGCAGTGTTTGTATTCTTCTTTACACAAACTCAAACATTCACTATATAAACTGAAAAATGTTTTGAAGATTTTGCTTTCCTTTGAATCACTTAATGAATATTTGGTTGTAGTCGCACTGTTTCTGAGAACTGCTGTACATCTGTGTTGCATGGAGTCACCCAACTTCTGGCACCTGTGATCAGGTATTCCAGCCCAGGATGATTGGACTACATTCCACAGTTCTTCTCTATTTCTTGGTTTTTCCTCAGAAACTGCATTTTTGATGTCACCCCACAAGTTTTCTATTGGATTAAGATCCGGGGATTGGGCTGGCCACTCCATAACGTCAATCTTGTTGGTCTGGAACCAAGATGTTGCACGTTTACTGGTGTGTTTGGGGTCGTTGTCTTGTTGGAACACCCATTTCAAGGGCATTTCCTCTTCAGCATAAGGCAGCATGACCTCTTCAAGTATTCTGATGTATTCAAACTGATCCATGATCCCTGGTATGCGATAAATAGGCCCAACACCGTAGTATGAGAAACATCCCCATATCATGATGCTTGCACCACCATGCTTCACTGTCCTCAGTGTACTGTGGCCTGAATTCAGTGTTTGGGGGTCGTCTGACAAACTGTCTCCACCCACTAGACCCAAAAAGAACAATCTTACTTTCATCAGTCCACAAAATGTTGCGCCATTTCTCTTTATGCCAGTCAATGTGCTCTTTGGCAAATTGTAACCTCTTCAGCACATGTCTTTTTTCCAACAGTGGGACTTTGCGGGGGCTTCTTGCAGATAGCTTGGCTTCACATAGGAGTCTTCTAATTGTAACAGTCCTCACAGGGAACTTTACACATTCTTTCATCTTCCTGGGGATGATTGTTGGCTGAGTCCTTGCCATTTTGGCTATTCTTCTATCCATTCAAATGGTAGTTTTTCGCGTTTTTCTTCCACGTCTTTCAGGTTTTGGTTGCCATTTTAAAGCACTTGCGATCATTTTAGCTGAGCAGCCGATCATTTTCTGCACTTCTTTATACAGTCAGGTCCATAAATATTGGGACATCAACACAATTCTAACATTTTTGGCTCTATACACCACCACAATGGATTTGAAATGAAACGCACAAGATGTGCTTTAACTGCAGACTGTCAGCTTTAATTTGAGGGTATTTACATCCAAATCAGGTGAACGGTGTAGGAATTACAACAGTTTGCATATGTTTTCCCCTCTCCAATCAAACTTTTTAATCAAGGTACGCTGTTCTTCTGAACAATGTCTGGAACGACCCATTTTCCTCAGAATTTCAGAGAGAAATGCACTGTAACCAGCATGTACAACATTTGCTGCCTTCCTTCCTTAAATAAGGGCAATAATTGCCACCTGTTTTTCAAAGAATGATTGACCTCACTAATAGAACTCCACACTACTATTATTTTGAACATGCCCCTTTCAATTGGTCATTCAATTACACAGAATCAGCAGCATGCATGTCATGACTGTTGGGTCTGTTGGATTTCTATTACTTTACTACACCTGCTAGTAAATTATTTGCCATGTAGAAATATCATTTCTACCAAAAACAGTGATTGATCAGGTTAGTGATGTCTGACTGCTATTATTTTGAACACAACTGTGTGTGTAAACATCACATCAATAAGAGAAGAAAAATGGATACATTAAGTGAAATCAAGTGCCCAAGTCCAAAAAAAAAAAAAAAGGTCCCAATTACAACAGACCCAATCCAGTGTTCGAAGGGTGTTAACGATGCCATATGCAATTGCCAGATTAAAGTGCTTCAGTACTTAAGTGAGACCTACAGCCTCCTTTCTTTGAGAAAGCCCTCTGGGGAAACCCACGTCAGATGAAGCCTGATTGAGTGACGTCATCATGCACACATGCTACTGGGATCAGAGTGGATTGTAACATGCTGTGTAATATACTGCTGCTTGAATTTTATTTGATGGGTGAGTGGAAGACAGTGGAGGCATTGGCAGAGAGGCGTCACAAACACTGAATGGTTGGTAAGGTGGATGAGTCTGGCAGCATTCATGACGGAATGAAGGGGGGATAGCCTATGTAAAGGAAATCCAATGAGGAGAGAGTTTGCACCAGTCAAGGTGAGAGATAACCAGGGAGTGAATTAGAAACTTTGCGGTGTCATTGGTTAAAAAGGGGAGTATCCTGGAGACGTTGCGGGGGTTGAGGAGGCGTGATGTGGACAGGGATTGGATGTGGGCCTGAAAGGACAGTTCAGAATCCAGCTGTTTTTGAAGCTGGACAGTGTGTAATCACTGAAGGTACAAGCCTATGGAATTCTACTTTACCAGTCACGTGATCTAATCTGGGTTTGGAGCCACACCCAGGGAAATTGGTTCATCTATGACCTGAAGAGGCGATGAGGGGGGCTGATGTTTAGAAGAGTGATCAAAGCTCTTGGGAGTGTGGATCACATGATAGTTCTTTAGATGTACTCAAGATGGTGATGTTTAAGATGAAGCTGATGATCAGGATCAAGATGAAGTCCCCCCCCTTTTCTCTCTCAATCTTCCCTTTCATTCCCCAAAACTCCTATTAACTAGGGATCAGCCCAGAGGGCGTAATTTGGAATATTTACTCACCGCTGATTGGGGACTCATCTTAGTTTGATCTGCTGCTTTGAAGGCCAGAAGGGAGATCTGGGGACCCCAGATCTCGCCAGAGAGGACCTGTCACAGCCCATGCTATCACAAGGGATGACATGTTTGGTATCTTTTTACTTAGTGTAGCATCATATTTTATGTGTTACCAAAAATTGGGTACTATATTGTATTTTTGTGCATTAAAGTTCATTAAAGTGCATATTAATAAAAAAAAAAAAAAAAAAGTGTGTGAAAAACTGCTGCGTGATTTTAAAATATGCAACACCCACCATTTTATTCTCCAGGGCCTCTGTTTCGAAAAAAAAAAAAAAATACAATGTTTGGGGAGTAGTTTTCTAGCAAAAAAAAAGTTTCACAAGTAGGTGAGGAATGTCATTGTGGCATTCCATATGATAAGTGCAGTGAGCTGCAAGGGATGTTAGCATAGAGTTGCAGTCCTACAAAAGGAAGATCTGGGATCACTGGCAGGGACATCCCTCTGATTGACTTCCCGAAAGATTGCGAGGGGCTGTCAACTGTATAGTAGAAGATGGATGGATCCTTTAAAAAGCCTAATTTTATTTTAATGAAATGTGACTGTATATAACAAGAATAATAAAACACATGGAAACAAAGGATTTTCTTACTTGTCCTTTACTCAGATATTCCATATGCACATCCTAACATAAATTAAATAAAGCTCATGAAAAGACTTTGATCAGGAGGTAACCACAAACACATGTATATAAATAACATAAAAGAACAGAATATACAACAGATAAAACTTCACACAAAAGTCCTTTCCAAACCCAAATCTTAATCATGGAAAATAAAAAAAAAAAAAAACACACACCTTACACCTTGAATCAGATCATTTCATAAATTCAGACAAGCATGGCAGATAAAGGACAGGGAGGTCATAACTGATCCAGTAGAACTAGCCGCAGACATGAGACAATTGCTATCTGATCCTGGTGGTCATGGTCAGACTGGAAGATACTTATGAAGAGAGTATTTGTCCTCTGCAGACAACTCAGGGTAAGAGATTGTCCAATAGGGATATTCACAGATGTTTTATGTGGATTTCCTAAGGCAGTCTCTCAACCTTTTCAACAGAGGAAGCCTTGGAATAACT